CACGGCGCTGCGTGTTGCGGGTGGGCCCGGCGTCGCGTGCCGGGCAAAGGCACAGAGATGTGGGCGCCGCAGGAGCCTTCGGGCTGAGAGGGCGGATGGACGCAGCGTGCGGGGAGTTGCGCGGGGGCGGCGGTCTGGGGCCTTTACGCTGTTGGGCGCCTTTTTATTTAAATTATATATATATTTTTTAAGCAGTCGGGAGGAATTTGTTTGGGCTGCGGTTTGCGGCGGCGGGTGCGCATCACAACACTACCGCCGGCGCAGCGAAGCAGCAGCCCGGTGCGTGAAGGACGAGGGTGTATACTTTAAACGGTTGGGGGAAAACTGTTGCCGGTGAGTGTTCGTGGGGGGGATATTATTTGCGTGCGGGGAACACGGCAACGCGCACGCGGCGCGGAGGTGCCGCAATTCTGTTGGTTTGGGCCGGCGCGTCGGGGGAAGTGGGCGGGGAAATGCGGCGGCGGCCCGCGTTTCTGCGGAACTGTTTGAAGGGACCATTTTTTAAATAAACATTTTTGTTTGTATTTAACTGCGGGCACGCGGCGTAGCCGGCGGACTGCGCCGCTGCGGGAAAAAAGGGGGCGCCGTGCCCCGTGGTGCCGCGCCGCAGCACTTCTTTTGTAGTTTCGTTTTTCGCTTTTATTTTTTCTTCCACCTCCGGCCGCTACCAACGACCGCCGCGTGGGGCGGGGGCGGAACAAATTTCTTCTTGTGCGGCTGCAGGGCGCTGCTGCGTGAACTTGGTGGGCCGCCGCCTTTTTCTTTCTTCCTCCCCCCGCTCTCACTCTCTGCGCCGTGCCCCACCGCGCTTCCTTTTTCTCTCTGTTTCTTCCTCTTCCTCTTCGCCGCCGCCTCGCAGCCCACTGGCTCTGCTGCGGCTCTTTTGCCCCACTGTGTTTGCTGATGGCGCTGACGGTGCGGCGCCGTGCGGTGTGCGCCCTGGCGCTCCTCGCGCTGCTCTGCGGCTGCCCGCTTGTGTGCGGGACGGCCGGTGCGGAGGCCGTTTTTCAGTTTGGGGGCGGGCCCCTCTCCGACGCCTTAGACACTCCCTCTGCCCCGGGTGCCAACGGGGCCGTCGTGGGCCGTCGGACTGATGCTCCTGTGCTACAGAATGACTCCCAGCGCCCCGACAAAGCGCAGGTTCGTCCCCCTGCCACTCCACAGTGCTCGATGAACTGCGATGCGTCTAAATCTGACCGAACTTCTTGCGTGCGCTGCCCCCCGGGTGTCCCTGGCCGGTCCCCCACGGATGAAGGACTTCAAGCCGCAGCTGCAGCTGGTGCCACTGCGCATTCGCACGGAGAGGATTTTGCAGGCAGTACACCTCCTTCCAACATTGCCGACGCTCCTGCTAAGCAAAGCGGCCAAAAGGTCTCAGCTGAGGCTGCGGTAGCTTGTGCTGCGGGTGGCCCAAAGGACCCATCTGCGCCGTGCGTCTCCGGACTGCATTCTTATCCCGGCGTCACTGCTTCACCGCCCGCAGGCCTTGCCGTTCCTCCTCTTCCCAACGGAGCAGACGGCCGTACGCCTTCTGGTCGTGTTGCGGGGCACAACTCCGGCGCCCCCGCCTTTTCCCACTTGGGCGGCGACGGTGCCGGTGCTCGCGGCGGGGTCCCCGGCGCTGCCCCTGCGGACCGCGTGACGCCGACCCCGCAGCCTCCGGTCGCCGGACGGCCGTTGGGTGAAGAGGCGGCGGGCAGCCCCGAATGTGGCTGGGACGAACGGCCCACGCAGCAGCGACCCGGCTGCCGCTGCTGCCTCTGGCACCAACTCGGGTGCAACGGGCGCAGACGCCCCCGAGACGGCGACTCCCCACAGAACGCACTCCGGCAAGAAGGACGGCAGCGACGCCGCCACGGTGTTTGTGCGTGCCCCACTCCGGCTGCTGCTGCCGCTGCTGCTGCTCACGGCTGCCGTTGCCTGCGCCGCTGGGTAGGTGGTGCGGGGCAGCCACACACTCACCCTGGCAGGGACGACTCGCTTTGTGCGCTCGGTTTGCTTGTCGTCCCTGTGGGACAATCCTTCTCTCTCTCTCCTGTTCAGTGAGGGATCTTTTTTCTTTGCTTTTGCTTTTTTTTCTTCTTCCCCTTTGGTTGCTTTCTATACACAATTCCACGAGTGACGGGTTTCCGCTCCTGTTTGCTGCCGTCACCCACACCCACACACACACACAGTTGGTGCCGGCCTCGTCGCTGTGCGCGTCGCACGGATTTGACACCAATGAGGCACGAGGCCGCCGCCACCGTGAGGCGCAAACGCCACATGAAATGTGGGGGAGGTGCGTGTGGGCTCCTGCAACATGGGCGATGCTTGCTTTTTCTTTTTTTTCTTCGTGCAGTTAATACACACACACTCTCACAGTCCCCTTGTGCTTCTGGACACGTGAGATAAAGAAACACCACCTGCCGAGGTAATTTTGTTTTATCTTTTTTCTTTTCTTTTTGGGGGTCCTGCGGGGATTATTTACTTCTCTTCCCCGTCTTTTTTTCCTTTGCGGCCTGGGCGGTGCCCACCGTGTGGGGCCGCGCCGTTCTTAACTCCCTCTTCTGTCGGTGTGCCGGCACGCATGCGGTGTGTTTTCCTTCCTTTTTTCTCTGCTGCTTCTCTCTTCCACACACACGCTGAAGGAAAAAGCGAGCAAACGCTGCTTGCCGCTACTGTGCGCCTCGAAGGCTTTGCGGCTAAGAACGCACACATAC